TGTGTATGTGTGTGTGTGTGTGTGTGTGTGTATATATATATATATGCTGAGGATTTAGCTCAGTGGCACCACACCTGCCTCGCAAGGGCAAGGTCCGGAGTTCAGTTCCCAGTACAGGGAAGGAAAAAAAAGAAAGAAAGATAATATGTTAAGCATCAGTTTGGCCAATTTAAAAATTGCCCAGTAATTTCTAAGAAAACTAGTCTTCCTTGTGTGTGTGTGTGTGTGTGTATATATATATATATGCTGAGGATTTAGCTCAGTGGCACCACACCTGCCTCGCAAGGGCAAGGTCCGGAGTTCAGTTCCCAGTACAGGGAAGGAAAAAAAAGAAAGAAAGATAATATGTTAAGCATCAGTTTGGCCAATTTAAAAATTGCCCAGTAATTTCTAAGAAAACTAGTCTTCCTCCATTGGGTGTAGGACTTAAGGTTTGATTTAATAACACAAGTAAAATCACAATGGGTAACATTACACCTATTACCTACTCTCAGCTGTGAGAATCTTTTCAAAGTTTGATTCATTTATCTTCCCCCAAAACTTTTCACGTGTCAAAAAAAATATTAACAACCAAAAAATAAGTGCATTTTAAACAGCCCAAATTTTATTTTATAAACCAATGACAGCTACTAAAGATGCTTTGGAAAACCTTAGCTAAGCCACATGAACAATCAGACCTATACAAGTACAGAATATCTAAACATGCTTCAGAACTAAAAAACTAAGTTGTATGTCCAGAGGGCATACAACTTAATTTCTACCAAAAACACTTTTTCAAAGGGGCTATGGGAATATCAAATGACAAAAAGCAGTAGAACAAGTAAGTAGCATGATTAGACAGAGAAGTCTCAAACGCTTAATACAAGATATATTAACTCATCAATTTTAAAGTTTCTGCATTCATTTAAAATTAGTGAAATAGAAAAAAGTTTAGGATGATTTAATCATACTTTGAAAACTCCCACTGGAGCTAAAACAAGTTTACAGTCCAGGTTATAGGAATCCAAGTTACATGGCAAATTATTAAAAGCAGCACATAGCTATTATTGTCATTTCAAGTCCATGCTTAGGGTAATAAGAAAATGCTGTTTGCAAATTCATTACATGTAATTCCAGTTTCCCAACACATAGTTAGGTCACACACAGGCAGAGAAAGCAAACGCTGGCTCAGTCAATCTCACTGCCTTGTCCAGAAGCCAGTGGCCTGAGGCCTCATCTACACTACTGGCTTCCCGGCACCTTGTGCCCCTGTGAAGAGGGCTAGCCCTGAAGATGAGAAGGCACACTGTTGATCCACCAGCACAGTTCAGGGCCCTCTGCAGATCTGCTGCACCAATGTTACCGTCTCCCGGAGAAAAGGG